ACACCAAAACAATAATATTTGTTTGCAACACCAAATCATATATATTTACTGAATCCCCAACAGCAACCATTGAAGCAAATCCACATAGTGATATAGATTTGACCAATGTATTAACAGTATTTACAGCAGTAAGTGTCTTTGTTGACCTTGAATCCCAACATTTTATCTTTTTGTCCCACCCTGCAGTCACAATTTGACCTGTGGAACCAAAAAAAATGATAAATTTTTGGAACATGAAATAGAAAATTGTAACAAAGTTAAAAGCACAATTTTCTCTAGAAAAAGTCACTAAAAGAGGAAGATGATCTTTTATTTGTAGAGGAAAAGTATTCAACCGAATATGGTTGACAAAGATGTCATTGGTTGTGAAGATTATGGTTAACCAATGCAATTTGATTACTCAATGGAAACTGAGGACTTATTAATGAAAGTGTTCATGCTTTTAAGACAAAGTTATATCCAGTATTATTAGAAATATGAAAACATTCTAAGTTTGCTATTGAACTTTTTGTTGTTTATTGTAAGTTTTATAATATTTTAGTACTTTGGATGTAACAATTGTTTATGGTTTACCTGTTTCACTTGCTGTAAAGGAAAGTAAAAGCAGTTCATTGCTTTTGTTTGTGAAAGATATAGATAAATCAATGTTGGGAAATCTGGAGGCTTATGCTTCCTTCAAGAGCAAGCTTGAAAATGCACCTGCCAATGTGGTTGTCATTGCTTCACATACTCAAATGGACAGCCTCAAGGAGAAAGTAAGTCTTCCTTTAGATTTTCTTCCATTCCATCATATTCATTATTCATAATTCAATTCATAATAACAACTACCAAAAAAAATTTGCAGTCTCATCCTGGTGGATTACTCTTCACAAAGTTTGGGAGCAATCAGACCACATTGCTTGAAGTGAAAATGAAAAGGCATTCAAACCTCAGGAATTTCCAAGGTTGGCATAGGTGGAAGAAAATCATTTCTACAGCTTTCTACTAGAGTGTTTCGATTAAATGTGTATGAAGAAGCATGTACTGTAGGAGAAAAACGTACAAGTGTCTCGTGGTCTTTGGAATTTCTAAATCTTCTTGTACTTTGCAAGTTCATTTTGGCTTTTGTAATGACCGAAAGTCTTAAAAAGTGAAGAAAATTTCTCACCTTTTTTGGAGGTAGTTGAGCTGTGAAAATGACGTTCTTAGCATCATGGATTCTTTTGGTAGCCAGATCACTGTCAATGTGAAGAAAAGAAAAAGTGAATGTTAGCACTTGTCTTATAAAATCACAGATTCAAGACCCCTTTCGTAAGATCCATTAAAACAAAGCAATCATAGCTAAAAAACTTTCTCATAGTAAAATCATCGAACAGTTATGGGCCATGCCTTTTCATGCGCTTGTGCCTTGAAGCAATGAATTCCATTTTCACTTCAAGCGCTTCAAAATCAACTGGAGTATGAAGATAAAAACGCGAGTTGCCCTGGCCCAGCTTTAAAAAAATCCATAGTGAGACTCCATTACCCAAAGCGAAGAACACATAATCTGACAAAATTAACAAGCATTCCAACAGAAACTCCAAACTTATATATCAAAATCATGCGAGAGATGCTGAAAGAAGGTTGGGGACGGGGACCTAGGGTTCAAGATGGTGAAAGAAAAATATAGTGATTTGATGTATGGATGCACGATGCAGTGGATATCGAGAGAATGAGAATATGGAGCATCAAATCTTGTGATGGCGGCGGAGGTCGTGAAGCTGTGAAACAAAAATGAGGGTAAGAAAGGAACCAACCGGAGATCACTTTTCTGGTAGCGATCTCCTCTAGATGGATGTGAATGAACCTCTACAAACCAGCTCCGAAAATATCATCATATTTCACTTCGAACTCTAAATGAAGCACTCGATGTAGGGAGGGAGATGAAGAGCGGCCATGATTGTGGGGAAAAAACACACCTAGGGCAAATGAGGGGAAACAGAGAGCGGGTTTTCAAATTTTTTTGGATTTTCTTTTCCCGCTGTACTAGTTGCTAAAGAGGAGGCACGCGTTTGTAAAATGAAAAAGCGACATTTATAAAGGACACGTGTTTAAGATAAGCGTCATCCGTGTTTTTTTATGAGACACTAAATTTAGGGCACGCAAAAATGCGTGTCCTAAATCCTTTAAATTTAGGGAGAGTTGACATTATTTTTAGGACACACGCTTTTGTGTATCGTAAATCTGTGCGTGTCATGGTTTGCGCATCATTAAAGGGTTGTTTTCTAGTAGTAAGGGGATGTCCCCTACGTATGTTGGGCGTACCCATCCGTACGTAAGTCAGAGAAAACCCTAATTTTTAAGGGTTGCACCTTATTTAAGCTCATTAAGCCCCCTAAGTCCTTCACCTTATCAGCCTCCACTGCCTTTTTGTGCTAATCTCGAAACCCTAGTCATCTTGAGAGTGTTCTTGAGCTTATTAAGAGTTTTTGGGTGTTCTTTTGTGATATTGAAGAAAAGGAACTTGGTGGTGGAGCATTGTTGGAGTTGGAGCTTCAAGATCCAGGGATATCTTCTTCATTGCAAGATTTTGGAGGTAAAAAGTTCTTACCTTGATGGTTCCTTGCTTAAATCTCTTTTGGTGGGTATATTTAGAAGTTTTGGTCCCATAACTTGGGTCTTATGGAGTATGGACTACCCCAGACCATTTGAGCTGTCCTTTTGAGCACTTATGAGTGCATGGAGTCATAAAAATCGGATATTGGAGGTTAGAACTCAACCATGCATGAGTTGGTGACCACTTAAGAGAGATAGAAGGCTAAATCCATGATTTGAGTCCCATTAAGACATGCAAAAGCATAAAGTTTGCAACTTTATGGTTTAATACGTTTTAATAAGCTTAGATCTAAAACTAGACGTTGGGTCTTAACTGATTAAGACCTTAAAAGGAGGAATTTGCCAGCTGCAGCATACGTCAGACGTACACTGAGCATACTCACCAAAGGGAATTTTGGGCTTTTTAACCTCGAGCCATTTTAGACTTAGGAAATTGGGCCTTTGTTGGACCGCAGGCTTTTCTGTGATGGGCCTTCTTGATATTACACCTATGCTTGGCATGGAATATCTATTGGGCCTTGGGTTAATTAGATTACGCCCTGATGTGTAGGCCAAGTAGGGGAAGGGTAAAGCAGCCCTTTTCCCTTAAAGTCGGAACTTAGGGTTTGCACCCTCGGGTGTGTTATTGACCTAATTTTAATTAGGGTTTTTATTTCTTGTGATTTAGTGAGAGGATTTCACGAGTCATCAACTCGAGTGTGATTTGATACCTTTATTCTAATGTGAGTTTCCTTCACTGTACCCATTGGTCGAAAGCACCAACGTCGGCCCACTAGATTATGTTTGTAGAATGATTATTGTGTTCGTGACAATGGCCTATTATGTCTGTATATGCTTGATGGCTCTGTGAATCTTATTTTATGATTATATGTGCTAGTTGTAGGGGGTGAAATAGACCCGATACCGGTTGAAAGATACCGAAGGGGGTGAAATAGACCCAGTACTGGTTGAAAGATACTAAAGGGGGTGAAATAGACTCGATATGTTTCTGAATGTTATGTATGTATGGTATAGGGTATTTTGGGGGAAATCACTAAGTTTTGTGCTTACGGTTTTCAGTTTATGTTTCAGGTACTTCCAGCTCAAAAGGAAAGGGCCCAACTTGATTGCAGTACATCCGCCCATGTTTTCCGCACTATGTGATTTTGGGATTTGTACTATGATATTATTATTATTCACTATGATACACTTTCGGTTGTTTTGATATGATTATTGGATGTTTGAAATGATTTAAAAGTAAAATTTTGCCCAAAATTTTTGGGATGTTACAGCAGTTGCCCTTAATGAGATATAAAGAAAAACGTAAGTTGGTTTGGCTTTTTTGAACGAAATCATTACTTCGTTGGTGTTTCTTGAACGACAAAAACTTTATTGGGGATTTTTGAACGATTTGGAAACTTCATTGAGCTTATAGGTCATTTTTCCTATCTGATACGATTCTAGAGGTCTATGTTTCCTGCGAGAAAACTAGTAAGAATAAAAACTAGGTTTCTCTTTTTTTTTCCTATAAACATATGGTGTCCACGTGGCATATTCAAACTACTTTTACGTATTTATGAGTTCTTTCTTTCACTTCAATTTCTAAGAAATTATAATAAAGGAAATTATTTTCAATACATTAATATTTCAGTGGATTCATAAAATGTGACTGTGGAAAAATCATCTCCCATAACAAAAACACAAGAAACTTATTAAAAAAACAAAAGAAAACCTTATATTTGAAATGAGACCAAACAAACTTATCCAAAACTACTTACTTTGATTCCCTTTCTTCACATCGCAGAAAGCTTCCAGGGAGCAACAATGGCAGCCCTGAGAATTCAAATTCACCCCAAAAACCATAAGACGTCCCTTTACCTCAAAACCCACTCTCCTTCCATCTCTTGCTCAATGCAACAACCTCCTCAAACAACATCAAGGTATATTAATTAATCATAACTCTTAATTAACAACTTTTGTTTTTTGACCATTGATTGATGGGTAAGAGGACATGTGGTCATCAATGGAGAAGCTAAGGAGATCGGAATGGCTGCTGTATTAGCAGTCACAAAAGCCAGAGGAATGGAAGTCGTCGTAGTTGTTGATTCACACCTAGTTGGAGAAGACATATGACTGGTTTGTGGCATGGAAGAAGCTCTAGAGATACCAATAATTAGTGATCTCACCATGGTACTAGGTTCCATATCTCAGGTACGCAATCAAATCTTAGAGATTCATTTTCTTTAGCAAACCATTTTAAATGAAATAGTTCCACAGTTAAAAGCGACATCAGTTGTAGTCAGTTTCACAGAGCCCTCTACAGTTTACGACAATGTCAAACAAGTATTCTTTTCCGCGAATCTTGAACCTCCTTTAATGGGGGTTTTAAGCATCCAATTTTTGATATTTTGTTGTCTTCTTGAGGTTAATAAGCAACGACATTTGGCATGAACAGTGTGGTATATGTACCACAAATCAAACTTGAAACCATAGCAGCATTATCCGCCTTCTGCGAGAAAGCCAACACGGTGAGCGAGAAGAGAACATGGTGAGAAGCTTTAGGGTTTGGTGACAAAATAAATCTTTTGGGATTTAAATTTCATGGTTGTCTGGTTGCACCAACATTGTCAATAGGATCGATATTACTCCAGCAATCTGCACTTTCAGCTTCTTTTCACTTTAACAATGTTGAGATTGTTGAATCTAAAGCTAATGCAGGAGTAAGTCGATCGAACTAGTATTCAAGATCTTATTAAAGGAAATGATTTGTTTGAAAACGTACATAATTGGAAATGACAGGTGTTCCCATCACAAGATTTTGTGCATATCGCCAATAACCATTTAAACCTAGGACAACTCTACAATAGAGATGATCTCGAAACAGATGCTCTAGTAATATTGACTATAATTTATTTATTTTTACCTATAATACAAACACTTACCCATAAATATAGGCAATGTAGTTCTATTTCTTTACCGATAATAAAAATATGTAACAAATAAAGTAAATTGCTCATATTTCTAGCAAAATGATACTTTGCTACTACAGATAAAGAAAATATAAATACGTTGTTACGGGTAAAAAAATTAAAATACATTGTTAATCTTGGTAGCAGAACAAAGCACATTGCTTTTATCGGAAGATAAATTAAATAATGTTTTTATTACGGATAAATAAATATAAGTATGCTGCTATTATGAGTAAATATAAAAGTACATTACACATATTGGTAAAAATGGTAGCATATGGTGCTCTTTCTTGCAATTTTCTCGATGTTAAACAACTTAAAGTAACATAGATCGTATTTGTTTCAAGCAAGAGGACAACGATTAGGAGAAGATGAGATTCGTGTGCATAGTTTAGTTCTTAATGGGCTTGTGTCTAGTACAACGATCAATTTTTCGGGACGTGGTGAGGTATTATGCATTAAAGTAAACTTTAAAGTGGGTCCCATCCCTAATTTAGATTTGAAAAAGTGTATAGCTTATGTCATTTTATTATATTGGGGACCCTGGTTAAATTTTTATTATGAATTCGGCAGATGTATTCTATCAAACACGATATCACAAATGTCCAATGTCTAATGCCTAGACTTATTCTAGCGATCAAGCAAGTCGTGCGTCTTAAGGTACTCATGTTGGACCCAAATTTCTTTAAATGTTTTTCTTTTTGTTCCTAATTTATCAAACCATTTATTTCTTTACTTGCAAAATCTGGTTTACGGCTTAAAAAAGTTCTTATAGAAATAGGTTTCCTAAATTTATTTCAAGTTTAGATTTTCGAATTTGTCCAAATGATAAAAAGAGTTTGTTATTATTATTATTTTTTTTATGTGTGTGTTTTTGTTAAATCCCAAAAAGATGAAATTTTAGGATGTTGTTACATCATGGAGACGTTTAGATTTTAGGAAATGTTTTGTACACAACAATTTTTCTTCATACACAACAATTGGTGCTTTAAAATGTTATACTGTACAACTCTATAATGCATACATTGTTGTGTATGACAAAAAATTATTGTGTACGAATCACTTCCCTTAAATTTTGCTCGACAAAATTACAATAGATATAAACCAACAGAGTAATTTTTTTTTCTTCTCTTTTTTTAGATTAATGTCGCAATAAAGTTAATCCCAATATATGTTTTAGATACCATGAGCTAATTGAATAGCTTAGAAAATGTCCACATGATTTTAGCATGCATTTATAAATTAGTACCAAAGGGCTTCTAGCCCAACGGTATCAGGTGGTGCCCTCCCTCCTTGAGGTTGAGGGTTCAAGTCCCGTGGTGGACATAGGTGAAATTAGGTGTTAGTTTAGGAGTAGATTATAATATTTGTATTTGCCCGTTTCAAAAAAAAAAATTTATAAATTAGTATAGAATTCTAAGCTCTATTTCATTAAAATATCTTTTAACACAAAAAAGATACGCTTCAAAACTTTAAAGTTTTACAATTTTAACTTATAATCAAATTTTAGCTTAAAGGTTCTTTTTAAGGCCGAAGATTCAAGTCTTATAAATAGTAAACTTGCCATTCCAAAAATAAAAATTAAAAAAAAAAACTTATAACTTATTGTTTTGTTAAATTCAAGCTCAAATTATTTAGACAAAACTGCAAAAATGGTCCCTGTTGTTTTTCATTTTATGTGGCTACGGTCCAAACGTTTGAAAAATTGCAGATTTAGTCCTTTTCATCAAGTTTTGTTGTGGTTTTAGTCCCTCATCCGTTAACTTCCTTAAAATGACAATTTTAACCCCAGGGATCATTTTCGCAGTTTTGTCTTTTACTATACTATAAGGACCATTTTTGCATACATTCTTTTTTATTTTAATGTAGTATTATATATTAACAGATATTATTTTTAATATATAATATTATATATTAAAAAATATTTTTTATTGGATTATTAATTTATTTTAGTTGATTTTTAAAAAAAAAATTGTTGGAGTAATTCTTTTTTATTGAATTATTATATATCAATACATATAGTTTTTAATATATAATATTTATATCATAATAAATATTATATTATTGGATTATCAATTTTTTTAGTTAATTTTTGTAATTTTTAATTATTTTTTATTGTATTATTACTTTTAATTTATTATTTTCTTCATATACTAAATGTTGTTTTATTGTATTATTAATTTATTTTAGTTAATTATATATATTTTTTAATTTTTTGGCGAAGTAATTCTTTTTTATTGAATTATTATATATCAGTACATATAGTTTTTAATATATAATATTTATATCATAATAAATATTATATTATGGGATTATTATATATTACAAAATATTATTTTATTAGATTATTAATTTCTTTTAGTTGATTCTTTTTATAATTTCTTTTTTGTTTGAGCAATTTTTTTATTAGATTATTATATATCAACAAATATTATTTTTAATATATAATATTTACATCATAATAAATAATACATTATTGGATTATTAATTTTTGTAATTTGTTTTTTTTAATTATTAATTTGTTGAAATATAATTTTAATATATTATTTTTTTAATATAATAAATATTATCTTATTGGATTATTATTTTATTTTTAATGTATACTATTAATTGTTTTTAATTTTATTAGTGTCACCACAAAGTCGTCGAAATACGTAAAAGTGTCGCTTATCATCGTCAAATATTGGCAGGATCACCTCCAAACACCTTCATTGGAGGTTCAATAGATACCCTACCCTATTCCACCTAGCGTTGCTGGTAGCCACCTGCGACAACCTCTTCATAATCCACTGGAATCCTTCATATCTCACATAATGCGCAACAAACCCCTATAACATTTATAAGTGGTGGTGGTGACCGAGTGATGGTGATTGTATTTTCCCTATGGTTCCTCATTATAAGCTAGATGAAATGAAAGTGTTTGGCAGCAATCCTAACGATTTCGATGATGAGAGACGACGGTTTTGCGTATCCCATGACTTTATGGTGAAACCAATAAAATTAACAAGAACTATTATTATAATTAAAAATAAATTAATAATCAAATAAAATAATATTTAGTATATGAAGAAAATAATAAATTAAAAGTAATAATCCAATAAAAAATAGTTTAAAAAAAAGAAATTACAAAAATTAACTAAAAGATAATAATAATCCAATAATATAATATTTATTATGATATAAATATTATATATTAAAAACTATATTTATTGATATATAATAATTCAATAAAAAATAATTACTTCGACAATTGTTTTTTTTTTAAAGAATTAACTAAAATAAATTAATAATCCAATAAAACAATATTTAGTATATGAAGAAAATAATAAATTAAATAATCCAATAAAAATAATTTAAAAAAAAGAATTAAAAATATTAACTAAAAGAAATTAATAATCTAATAATATATTTATTATGATATAAATATTATATATTAAAAACTATATGTATTGATATATAATAACTTAATAAAAAGAATTACTCTAACAAAAACAAAAATTAAAAAAATCAACTATAATAAATTAATAATCCAATAAAACAATATTTATTAATATATAATATTATATATTAAAAATAATATTTATTAATATATAATACTTCAATAAAATAAAAAAGAATGTATGAAAAAATGGTCCTTATGGTATGGTAAAAGACAAAACTGCGAAAATGGTCCCTGAGGGTAAAATTGTCATTTTAAAAAAGTTAACAACCAACCAGTTAAACTTAACGGATGAGGGACCAAAACCACAATAAAACTTGTATGGTATGGTAAAAGACAAAACTGCGAAAATGGTCCTTATGGTATGGTAAAAGACAAAACTGGTCCTTATGGTATGGTAAAAGACAAAACTGCGAAAATGGTCCCTGAGGGTAAAATTGTCATTTTAAAAATGGGGAGTTGTATTACAAATACGGTTTCTTGTGCAATTCCATTAGTGTCTTGTGCAACCCCATTTGCTATTTTTTCTTGGTTTTGTCACATGTCAATATGTTTGATAAAAATGATAATTATATTACATATTTATTTTTGAAACACATGGCACTTGATAAAAAATGCTTTGGTATAATTTATTAACCTCTTTTGATTAATTTTAGTTAACAATAAAATACAAATATCACATGAACTTTTCAAAGAATAAAATACGAATAATATTAGAGTATGACTTGGATTTTGGTGGTCCGAATAAATAACCTAACACAAAACAAAATAAAGAAACCTAAATGACAATTTCAAAGGGATGTTGTAACGTCCCATTTTTCACAATCCAAAATTTTTCATTTTTATTTAGGTAAAACTTTCAAATTTATAAATCTATTATTAAGAAAAATCATTTACTCCAAATTACATTTATTTAAAATCAGAGTATTATAGAAAACGTGAAATCCTCAATGTTGTTGTTGATGAGTGTGTACAGTACCGTCTTCGTCTTCTCATAGACACCGATGATACCTGAAACAATAAACGACTGGATAAACATAAAGCTTAGTGAGTTTCCCCCAAAATACCACGCATAAACAACAAATAAACAAGCAACAGGCCCAATCAGTCATCGGACTGGAATGCCCAACTATACTGGGTTTGTTGACCTTACCGCCTCAACCTAACCGCTCATCCCGAGCCTCCGTACCTACGACTTACAGCCGGCCCGCATCGGGTATCTTGGCCTACAACACAAAGCAGGACCGCCTCAACCCAAACCAAACACAACATGTCGACATGTAAACAATCAAGGATCAAGTAGGCACATAATACATGCAACATCAATCATACAACTCGCTACTTTCTACTAGTCCTCTCATAACATACAGTCCCGCTACCAGCTAAACTCCATGAAATGCGTAACCATAAGTAACCAGAGGTGAGATAGCCACCCGAACAAATGATCCTACTCTAGAGCCACAACCAAACAAGGAACATGCAAGAAAGCCAGATCAAGAGTTCTCAGGCTATCATACATGACCACAAACAGTCCCTAAGGACACTCCATAGATGATAACCAGCAAGCACATATAACATACAATTCTACAGATTATTACAACAAAGCAACATACTTGATACCAGGATACAGATCTAACATATCACTACAGCATAGCAGCATACTAAATATCAACAATCCAAGGAATGCATGATCGTATATAATCAGAGGTGAGATAGACACTCGGACATGTGATCCTACTCTAGAACCACTACCAAACAAGGAACATGTAAAATGGCCTAGATCAAGAGTTCTCAGTCTATCCTACTTGACTATATACAGTCCCTAATGCATCCCTCTACTAACAGATAATCGAAACTAGTGGCCCGACATTGGTGTCTTCGACCCACGGTACAATGAGGCGAAACTCACCTCGATATGCGCGTAGGTAACCACCGTAGTAACGTAGAACTCTACTAGCTTCAACTCACTTCCAATCACCTACATGAAGATACTTGAGTCAATACTCGATCACATGCTATAGTTACTTGCAACAGTGACTACCTCACATGAAATAACAATTAAGGTTAAGTAAGGACACTTAACCCATTAAGGACTTAACCAACTCAGAGTAGTGTTGATTAAGGTTTGACTTAGTCCTTCTCGGGTATAATAATAATCCAAGCAATAGCCCAAATACGCGCCCCGATCCTTGTCCAAAATAGGGCTTCCCGATTCTAGGGTTTGGGTTTGAATGAGAGACAAGGGAGGGGGTGGCGGGTTTTAGTCCCGCCTCCACCTTTCAAACTTATGTACATTTCTTACACTTTCAGCCCAACCTTCTCTATTCTTTTTTCAAATTAAGTCCATAATTTACTCTATATCCCTCTGCTTCCACAATTATATTCATAACTAGTCCAAAAGTTACGCTTTAACCCCTGATTTACAGAATTTGTAACATTTAACTCCTTATGCTAACACCCTGATAAATTATTACGGATTTAGGGCTAACATAAAACTATAAAAATACATCTTGGGGTTTTAGGGTTTATTATTTATTTATTTATTTATTTATTTTAAACGGGATGTTACAGATGCAGAGCCACGCAGTAGGACATGTCTGGTTGTTTCAAATTTCCTTGTATATGAGTACGACTCTATAATTGCTATGGTTATATTTATAAGTATTCATAACTAAAGATTCTAATGCATCACTTTGAAAAAAATCGAGTAATATAAGAGTTCTTCAATTCTTGTCCGTAGACATATGTTATATCGAGCGAACCATGTTAATTTTTTGTGATGTTTTTTTAATTGTTTTTCCTTGATTGCTCGTGTAACAAATAATCACAATTTTGTTTCATGATCATCGTGTTTGGTGAGATGCATCATCATTTGACATATGATTATATAGTGGATATTGTTTTGTATGTTATTTTGACTGAATTAAAGATTTTGTTGGCGTTGATTATATAAGTTTGCAATAATTTGATTTTCATTTGTTGAAAATTTTCAAGGAGTCAGCACAAAAGATATAGTGCCAAACAAGTTATTATTTCAACAACATTGACATTTATATTAATTTATATTAATTGATTGTGTGATATGTAGTAAACTATAACAAAAGATGATATATTTGTTTACAACAACTTTCTTATAACAATTTTGTCTTTAACTTGGGGTTCGGTTTTAAAGTGAAGTCAAAAGGCCGAATTCTGACTGACTCGGTCTATCTTCAACTTTTTCTTTGTCTTGGGCCAGAGAAAACGAGTTGAACTCATTCTCAACCGAGTCAGCTGTTCCTGATCTAACCGAAAATACGTCTGTACTAGATAATTCCTCTCAAGACCTACCCTGTCAAGAACCATCCATCAATTGGATCAGATTTTGACACGTGTCCTCGATGCACCTGATCACCGCCCGATCTATTAGATCACACGCGTACCGAACACAAACCGGCTACAGACAGTCACGTAGGGCTACCCACCGACACTTCCGGTCACTCTCCCCTCTCCGATTCCCGCTAGATACATAAACTCCGATCGAACACTGCAATTTTTTAGCTCCATATCTATGGTTTCGCAGAATTAATTTGAATAGTTAGCTGATGATTGGTATGTAATTTTTTTATTACCTTTTAATGTTGCTAAATTCGTGCTAATCTTCATTGCCGTTTGCTTCAACTTATTGATCAATGCCTAAACCGTGCAAAAAACCAGATCTTTATCTGTTTGCTTTTCTTCTTTTTAAAAATTTGAATTCAAGCTCAAATTTCTTGTTTAGTTTTGATTTAAAGTGGTAGGGTTCGATGGGGTTTTTACTATCCCCTCTTTCAGTAACATACGGAAGCGTTAATTTTTAGAGATTTGATCTAATTTTACGGTTTCCAATGAATGTGATGAAGCTGTTTGTGATTTTTTTAATTAGTAAGTCTTAGTCGTTAAGTTGGAGGTTTTCTTTCCAAATTACAAACAGAACAACACAAAAACACATATCGTCAACAACTTTGTTTTGGCCACATAACAAAAATGCAAGACTTATTTTTTAAAAAAAAAAAAAAAAACCTTATCTTTGAAATGAAACCAAACTAACTTATCCAAAACTACACAACACAAAAAGCTTCCAGGAGCAACAATGGCAGCCCTGAGAATCCAAATCCACCCCACAAACCACAAGACTTCCCGTTACCTCAAAACTTACCCTCCTTCCATCTCTTGCTCAATGCAGCAACCTCCTCAAAACAACATCAAGGTATATTAATCATATATAATTCTTAACAAACCATTGGTTGATGGGTACGAGGACAGGTGGTGATCAATGGAGCAGCTAAGGAGATCGGAATGGCTGCTGTGTTAGCAGTCACAAAAGCCAGAGGAATGGAAGTCGCCGGAGCTGTTGATTCACACCTAGTCGGAGAAGATATAGGACTGGTTTGTGGTATGGAAGAAGCTCTAGAGATACCTATAATTACTGATCTCACCATGGTACTAGGTTCCATATCTCAGGTAATCAAATCTTAGAGATTCAACTTTTTTTTAGCAAACCATTTTAAATGAATTTTTTCCCGCAGTTAAAAGCGACATCAGTTGTAGTTGATTTCACAGAGCCTTCAACAGTTTACGACAATGTCAAGCAGGTCCTCGTTTTCCTCTAATCTTAAACCTCCATTAATTGGGTGTTTAAGCTTCTGGTTTTTGATGTTTTTTTTTTTTTTTTTGTCTTCTTGATGTTAATAGGCAACAGCATTTGGCATGAATAGTGTGGTATATGTACCACGAATAAAACCTGAAACCATAGCAGCATTATCAGCCTTCTGCGAGAAAGCCAGCATGGTAAGAATTATGAAGCTTTAGGGTTTGATGACAAAATAAATTTTTGGGTTTTAAATTTCAGGGTTGTCTGGTTGCACCAACATTGTCAATAGGATCGATATTACTCCAGCAAGCTGCAATTTCAGCTTCTTTCCATTATAACAATGTTGAGATTGTTGAATCTAAAGCGAATGCAGGAGTAAGTGGATGATATTCAATATCTTAATCATTTAAGTTTCTAAAAGAAATGATTTGTTTGAAAACTGACAGGTGTTCCCATCGCAAGATTCTGTGCAGATCGCCAATAACCTTTCCAACCTCGGACAACTCTACAATAGAGATGATCTTGACACCAATGCTCCAGTATATAATTTGCTTATTTTTACCTATAATACAAACACGTACTCACACCCATAAATAATGGCAATATAGTTCTATTTCTTTAGGGAAAAATAGAAATAAAGTACATTGCAAGCAAAATGATACTATTGATAAAGAATACCAGTATCTTGTTATTACGGAACAAGAAAATATAAGTACGGGTAAAAAAAAAGTTAAAATAATAAAAGCACATTGCTTTTATTGGCATATACATCAAGTATGTTTCTATTATGGATAAAGAAAGACAAGAACGTTGCTATCATGGGTAAAAACAATTGCATATATTGGTAAAAGGAGTAGCTATTTCTCCTAATTAGTCCAATGTTAAACGACTATAAGTAAACATAATAAGATCGTATTTGTGTCAGGCAAGAGGACAACGATTAGGAGAAGATGGGGTTCGTGTGCATAGTTTAGTTCTTCCTGGGCTTGTGTCTAGTACAACGGTCTATTTTTCGGGACCCGGAGAGGTATTTTGCATTAAAGTAGACTTGGTAGTGGGATTTGGTTGAATTTTCTCACACCTAAATATAGATTTTTAAAAAGTGTATGTTTATTTTATTTTATTATATTGCGGACTTTGGTTGAATTTTGTTCTAAAACTCGCCAGATGTATTCTATCAAACACGATATCACGAATGTCCAATGTCTCATGCCAGGACTTATTCTAGCGATCAGACAAGTTGTGCGTCTTAAGGTAATCGTTATGTACCCGCATTAATTTCTTAAAATTAATTTCTTTTTGCTCCTAATCGACACAATCTTTCATTTTTTTTTCTTTACTTGCAGAATCTGGTGTACGGTTTAGAGAAGTTCTTGTAGAAATAGGTTTCCTAAATGAACTCCACTTATTGATAACAAAAAGATATTTCAAATTCGGATTTTGAATTTGTCCAAATGATGCGAGAGTATTTTTTGTTAAATCCTAAAAAATGACATTTTAGGATGTTACATTTTAAATTTTGCTTGACATATTGCAATTAATATAAACCAACAGAATAAAAAATTTCTTTTTTCTTTTCCTTTTTTAGATTAATGTGGCAATAAAGTTAATTCCAATATGTATTTTAGATACCATGTGCTAATCCAGTAGGTTAGAAAATATCCATACGATTTTAGCATGCATTTATGAATTAATATAGAATTTTAGCATGCATTGTTTTTGTTAAACCCAAGCTCATTAAGTTATCTAAAGGATTAAGAAAACATTGATTTGACAAAAAAATATCATATAAAATAATGATATAACAAGAGGTTATTATTTTATAGGGACCCATCACCAATTAAATTATTCAATAAACAAAAGTAAGAAAATTATATTAACAGTCCTTCAACTATTACAGATATGCCTTTTTAGTCCCTCCAGAATCTTTCTACATTTTCCATACTTAAATGGGAATTGTATTACAAATATATTGTTTCTTGTGCAACATCAAGTAGCTATTTTTCTTGGTTTAGTCACATTCAATATGTCATTTACGGATAAAAATGTGTATTACATATTTATTTTAAAAAACATGGCACTTGATAAAAAAAATGCTTTTGGTATAACCTATTAGCATCTTTCGATTCATTTTAGTTAACAATAAAATACGAATAATGTTAGAGTGTGATTTGAAATTTGGCGATCCAAATAAATAGCCTAACACAAAATGAAGTAAGGAAACCTTAATGACAATTCTGAAGGGATACAACAACCTACGGTAGGACATGTGTAGTTGTTTTAGATTTACTTGTATATGAGTCCAATCCTATAGTTGCTAGGGTTACAATTATAAGAATTCATAGTTAAAGATTCCAATGTATCACTTTGAAACCAATAAGGTAATAGAAAAGTTCTTCGGTTTTTGTTTGTAGACGTATGTCGTATCGACCGAACTATTTTAATTTTTTGTGATGTGTTTTCCTTGTTTTTCTTTGATTGTTTGTATTCAAAGAACTAGTCTATACTACCTATCCAATAATATGTGTATTTTAGACTTACGGCTCAACCATTTTGTCTTAAACACGGGTTTACGTGCACTTACGGTCTACATGTCGTTTCGTCAACACGGGTCTATGTGTACTTACGACCTACATGTCACTTCGTCAACACAGGTTTATGTGTACTTATGGCCTACATGTCATTTCGTCAACACGAGTCTATATGTACTTACAGCCTACATGTCATTTCGTCAACAAGAGTCTGTGTGTACTTATGACCTACATGTCATTTCGTCAACACTCGGGCTTGTAGGCTCCCGACCACTTTGTCGTTCCACCATCACCCCCTAAGTAAACCTAATATCACAACAATTTTAGTCAGTTTTGATGGTCCATGTTTAGGGATGTGCGTTTGGACCAAATACCCGAACCGAAACCGAAACCCAGACAAAATCGACCCGAATTAGGATTGAATAAGTTATTTGGGTCGGTTCTCGGGTGTCTATTCCAATTCGGGTTTCGCGTTATTCGGTCCGGGTTACCCGAATAAAGGTTTAATCGGGTCAAAAAGACCGACCCGGAAAGTGAATAGTTACTTGAACCAAATAACCCAAATAAACCGAAATGACCCGAATAATCCAAATAAACCAAATGGCCCGAATAACCTAACTAAGGAAATTCTATATCTAGTTCAAGAAAAAAAAATATTAAAATTAATATTTTTTTTCTTGAACTAGATATAGAATTTTTTTTATTTGGGTTATTCGGGCACTTTCGGTTTATTTGGGTTATTCGGTTCAAAAGCATAGTATAAATGTTTATTTGGGTTATTTCGGTCCTTTCGGGTTAATAACCTAACTGAAACTCGTATTACCCGAACCAAACCGGACCCGTATTAGTATAATCAGTACGGGTTTTGGTTCCCACTTTTCATCCAATTCGGGTTTCAGGTTATTCGGGTTCGGGTCGGTTTTGGCCCGAAGCACATCCCTATCCATGTTAACGTATCTTTCCATCTTCATCAACACCTCAAAACCAAGTTGGTTCAAAGTCTCCAAAGGTTGTCATTCTAAAACACGTTATGGTTGGTTTTAATATCATTCTAACCTCTATAAATGGATCCTTGGTGGTTTTGTTTTGTAAAATACTCAAAAAATAATATTGTTATCTTTAAGCTTCCATTGCCCGACTTTTATGAAAAAACACTCTTATATTTTGTATCAAAATCCATCAGAAATAAAAGAAGAGAATGATAAAGGTGGAAGCTTTATACTGTCCCAAGCTCCACAAGATGCAGGAAATGCTAGATCTGAAGTAAATACGCTCTTCCAACTAGCAACCAAGGCTTCAAACATTAAGAACACCAAGAATACAACAAGAATAACTCAAAGGAGGATAAGGTTTCGTTTTGGAAGGTTGGAGGCTAAAGAGGATGCCCTGATCTTGAATTTTTAGGCTTTAAATATGGAAGAAACCCTAAAAAAATCGTAGGCTTGGCCTACAACAGCCACCACATTGTGGCATGCCTCATTTCACGTCGTGGTGTCCATTAGGACATGCGTTCCATTACATGTCATGTCGCTTCGTGTTCATCCATGTACCATGTCGTGGCATAAGGTTTTCCTCAAAAACCTTATATTTGACCCTTTAAAGTCATCAACTAATCCATTCTGGAAAATAGGTGTTACATCTTCTTTGGTTGATTCCTAATATCATCAAGATCAATTAGGCTTCCACTAGTTTCTTGAAATATCTCCTTTTCATGGAAGAGTGCCCTATAAGCAAAAAAGATCTTGTTCTCAGTAGGTTTGTAGAATAAGTATCCAATAGAATTTTTGGAATAACCAATGAAGTGACACCTTTCAGATATGTGTTCAAGTTTGTCAAGCGCTTCTCAATGAACGAAAGCCTCACAACCTCAAACCTTGATTCATGCAAGAGATGAACATCAGTCCTTTCCACATTTCAAATGGTTTCTTTTCAACCTTCTTAGTTGGTACTAGGTTTAGAATTTAAGTGGCAGTTTCTAGAGCATAACCCCAGAAACTTATTGGAGGTGTAGTATGATTCATCATAAAACAAACCTTATCCAACAAGGTTCGGTTTCTTCTCTCAGACATATCATTGTGTTGTGGTGTGATTGGTGGAGCTAATTATGAGACTATCCCTCAATTTCTAAGATGATCGTAGAATTCATCACTGAGATACTCTCTGCCCCTATTAGAATGAAGTATCTTGATTTTCTTGCCTAGTTAGTTCTTTACTTCTCTCTAGAACTTCTTGAAGACTTCAAATGTTTTGGACTTATGTTTAATTAGATAAAAATACCCATATCAACTGAGATCATCAATAAATGTGACAAAGAGAACTACGTTAAACCTTCCTTATATCAATAAATTAGGTGAGCCTAGACGTGGTAAGACTAACAATGCACATTTAGAAACATGCGAGGACGCAACCAAAAACAATTTAAGTCAACAATTAAATTATTAAAGTCCTAATCTTTTGTATTTTAAATAATCTTATAATTAAATCAAGTTTACTTTATCTTTTAGTATAAAGGCTAGTTTGTATGTATTTTAAAAGCGAAAAAGGAATGAAGCAATAGAAAACAAGGAAAAAAAATTATAATTCTGGAACATCAGGTTCCACGACATGGGGAATAGGCAACCATGTCGTGGGGCACTGGGAAAACAAGACTATTATAAAATATTAACTTTTCTCACTGGCCTTGGAAACAAGCCCTAGGAAAGGCTACCTATGTAGTTCTTTCTGGTCCTCTTCTACGGACAAAAACGTTGACTCACAAGATGTTTGAAGATGCTCAAACCGAAACTGATCCCTCCATTACAACATCCATGTATCATTGGATCTCTCATCTGTTTTAACCTGCTCCTCCAGTTGTAAACTCAGTAGATGACGATTATAAAGATAGTGATTATGAGGATTATGAAGATGGTGATGATGATGAGGATGATAATGAAAATGATGAAAATGCCCATCATGGGTCAAATGAAGGCTCAAACATTGTTGCAGGATAATCTCTCCCAATAGTTGTTCCTGAAATTGGTGATGGTGTTGTTGGATTAAGGTATCTAAGCCAGTAACTATATTGGTATATTCTTATAATTAGAAGCAAAGTCCTTTTTAGGTTGCCCTCATAACTAGAACTTGATTAGAAAGACATTTATAGAGAGAGGATGATGTTGTTGTAAAGGTATTATGCATTAAAGGAAACTTTACATTGGGTCCAGGACTGTAAATGAACCGAACGTTCAGCGAACTGTTCGTGAACCGTTCAACGAAAATTTTGTTTATGTTCGTTTATTTAATAAATGAACGAACAAACACAAATTTTTGTTCGTTTAATTAAATGAACGAACATGAACAATGGTCTTGTTCGTTCAATTATGTTCATGAACGTTCATTTATGTTGTCCTTTTAATGTTTGTTGACGTTAGTTCATTTAAGTTCCTTTTATGTTCAATTATGTTTGATTACATTACTATATCATATGTTTGTTTATTATCCATATATGTTCAATTATGTTTGTTTATCCTTGTTCGTTTATGTTCGTTTAAAATGTTCACAAACATAAATGAATGAACATGAACAATTTAATTTGTTAAACAAATAGACATGAACAAGAAAACTCGTTCGTTTATTTGTTCGTGTTCGTTCGTTGGTTCAACTAACTTAAATGAACGAACATGAACAACTCTTATTCGTGATCGTTTCGTTCGTTTACAGTCCTTAATGGATCCTATTGTGTAATTTCCTAGTTCGAGTAGGATACTAGGATTTATGGTGAGGATCAAGTTTCCTTGGTGAGCAAGGATTAGGACCTATAAATAGGAGATATGTATTGTTTATGGTGTGATTGATTAGGAGAGCTCTTTTGCATTGTCTGTAACCCAAGTTTTGAGTTATTTTCCTGGGTTATAATAAGAAGCTTTTTTTATTCATCTGTTTTGTTTTATTAATTGTGTTCAACATTTGGTATCAGAGCGGTAACGATAAATGGTTGGGGAAGATAGTAGTTCGGGTAAAGATGGAAACAATGGAAAAGGCGAGGCGACTACCAAGGAGGGTTCATATACATCGTTCTAGGTTCCCATG